TGATGGAGCATTGTCCTGCATGAAAATCATGTTTTTCTTGAAGGATGCAGACTTCTTCCTGTACCACTGCTTGAAGAAGGTGTCTTCCAGGAACTGGCAGTAGGACTGGGAGTTGAGCTTGACTCCATCCTCAACCCGAAAAGGCCCCACAAGCTCATCTTTGATGATACCAGCCCAAACCAGTACTCCACCTTCACCTTGCTGGCGTCTGAGTCGGACTGGAGCTCTCTGCCCTTTACCAATCCAGCCACGGGCCCATCCATCTGGCCCATCAAGACTCACTCTCATTTCATCAGTCCATAAAACCTTAGAAAAATCAGTCTTGAGATATTTCTTGGCCCAGTCTTGACGTTTCAGCTTGTGTGTCTTGTTCAGTGGTGGTCGTCTTTCAGCCTTTCTTACCTTGGCCATGTCTCTGAGTATTGCACACCTTGTGCTTTTGGGCACTCCAGTGATGTTGCAGCTCTGAAATATGGCCAAACTGGTGGCAAGTGGCATCGTGGCAGCTGCACGCTTGACTTTTCTCAGTTCATGGGCAGTTATTTTGCGCCTTGGTTTTTCCACACGCTTCTTGCGACCCTGTTGACTATTTTGAATGAAACGCTTGATTGTTCGATGATCACGCTTCAGAAGCTTTGCAATTTTAAGAGTGCTGCATCCCTCTGCAAGATATCTCACTATTTTTGACTTTTCTGAGCCTGTCAAGTCCTTCTTTTGACCCATTTTGCCAAAGGAAAGGAAGTTGCCTAATAATTATACACACCTGATATAGGGTGTTGATGTCATTAGACCACACCCCTTCTCATTACAGAGATGCACATCACCTAATATGCTTAATTGGTAGTAGGCTTTCGAGCCTATACAGCTTGGAGTAAGACAACATGCATAAAGAGGATGATGTGGTCAAAATACTCATTTGCCTAATAATTCTGCACTCCCTGTATGGTGCTTGTTAAGTGAACACTATCTTTTAAAGTTATAAAAACTTTATGAAGGCAGTATCATCTTTCTCCAACTACTAGAGCTTCACAAGACAATGAAATTAAAAGTAGAATAAAATGTGAAATTTGGAAAATAAAAAAAAAATAGCATTGAGATGTAACTAAAATGGTTCGCATATGTGCAAAAGAGTGCCAATTGCAATGTCTAAGATTGATAGGTTTAATTCCTGACAAGATCAGTTCAGCCCTTTGTGATTCCATGGATGATAAAATAAATGCCAGTAATAATTGCAAATTTGTAAATGTACCGTTCCAGGTTAATTGTCTCGATACTATTAGATCAAATAGCAGTTAATCATATAAAAGATTGGTTTTACAATTAATTTATATATTTTTTTCTCTTCATTTGCAATGTTTACCTTGTCTGATCTGTTTTCTTATACAATTTGCTAAATCTTTAATATAAATTAAAAAGAAAACTTAGTATCTCATGAAAAAGGTTAATATAAATTATAGGTGATTTTTAATATTTTATTCAATGGTGTAAATTCCACTGATGTGACTGTTCCCCTTTAAAGAATTGGGTACAAATGTTTATTTTTATTGTTCCTTGCATTTATAGTTTTGAAATATTAGTTTTGTTCCTGCCAAAACTGTGCATTTTATTTTATGCCAAACCAAATATTTTCCCATCATTACCCACTGAGAATAAATTGTTTTATTTTATTTTTACAGTTTATGCCCATTGTGCATGGTCAGCAAAGAATCTACCTGCACTAATTACAAGGTAAGTACAGTTATCCAGAAATAGTGTTGTGCCCATGGCCGGCAAGACCTATAGGCAAATTAGGCAGTCGCCTATGGCGGTGCACAGGGGACTTGGTGGGGAAGAGGCACACAGAGGGTTGGGGTGAAGAGGTGCATAGAAGGGCTTGGGGGACAAAGAGATGCACAGAAGGGCTGGAGGGGACAAAGTGACACACATAGAGGCTGGGGGACAAATAGACATACAGAGACATGGGGGGACAGAGAGAAACACAGATTAACTGAGGGGACAAAGAGACACATAGAGGGGCTTGGAGGAACATAGACACACAGAGGGACTGAGGGGACAAAGAGACACCCAGAAAGGCTGGGAGGAAAAAAGACATGCAGAGGGCTGGTGTTACAAAGATGGTGTTACACGGAGGGAAGTGGGACAAAGAGACACGCAGAGTGGCTGAGGGGACAAAAGAGACACACAGAGCGGCTTGGGGAACAGATGGTTGGGGGGGCGAAGAGATACACAGATGAGTTTTGGGGGCAAAGAGCCACACAAAGGGGCTGGAGGGGAGAAGGACACACAATGCAACTGGAGGAGAAAGAGACACAAAAGGTGTTTTGAATTGGAAAGAGACACACAAAGGGGCTGGGGTAAGACATATATAGAGGGGCTGTAAAATGGAAAAAAACACACAAAGAAATTGGGGGGGGAATGACACACAATTTGTATTTTCTTTTTCATACAGGGTACGATGTCCCAGTGAATGTCTAAATAAGGATGGTGACGTGTGGGGATCTAACCCCTTTACAGATGTAAGAATCACATTCTGATCTAAATGTGTTTAAGTTTCTCACTGTCACAATGCATATATCAAAATTATACATTTTAAACAAACACAATTTTCCCCAACAGTCTACAGCCATTTGCCGAGCTGGTATTCATGTAGGGATGTTCGAAAATGATAAGGGCGGAGAGTTTATTGTGGTGAAGAAGCCAGGAGAAAATAGCTATCAAGAATCCAATAGAAATGGGGTCCAGTCCAAGAGCCACGGAGCCTGGCCTGGGTCATTTATACTGGTCTCACTTGCTGACTTCCAGCTTAACGGATACATGAAATACATAGGCTACAATTTCAACTTCAACCAAGGTGGAGGTAATAGTGTTTTCCTTATGCTTGTATCAGAAATTATTTCACAACAATCTGTGCTGAACTAAAAACCCAAACTGATATTGGATTTAGCACCAGAACCAGAAGAAGGAATGTCTAACTCCTTAATTATTAGTGTTAATATTTCTTATTTAGATAACACCAACATATTTAGAAGCACTGTTTAATTTAGGGGAAATAGGCAAACATACTGCAGACATACCAATACATCAGTTGAGGACCCTGTCCCTGGCATTACATTTAAAATCTAGCTTTTACAGGATTTTTATTCAAAGTTTTGACAAGACAGCACAGGAGTTTACAATCCCTGCATACATCCCTAGAGACGCAAGATAGCTAAATGAAAAAAATGTTTAAAAATAAACGTGGTCGATGTAATAAATGCTGCATGTCAGTTAGCTGTCTAGCATGGTAGAAGGACAGCATAGCCAAGAACCATGATGCGCGCGTTTCGCCCGACCTGGCTCATCAGAGGGGACCCCTCTCTTTTTCCTTATCCACTTTCTCTTTATTATTTAGCTTATATAGCTTTGGTTAGGCACTTAGAAGCATTTTGCACTTGTAACTTGTATTAGCAGCCTTTATCAGTGAGGTTAGTGTTTGTTTCCCCAGCAGTTACTTAGGGTTAACTTATTTACGTGATCGCTAGCTATCTATACTTTGTTGCTTATTTTGCCGCTACAACGATACCTACTCATTCTTGGTATTTTGCTTAACTTAGCCAATATTCCTTCACATGTGCCTAACCTTTACTCTTTAGGGCTTCTTGTTTATCTTTGAGATTTACACCATTGTTATATAGCGTAGTACTTAAAAAAATAGCACACAGACGTGTTATCTACTCCATACACGCTATCATCCCTTAGCAAGTATTAGTACAGAGTACTCTCCGATCTATACGTGAATATAATGATGACCACTTTGAATTGGACTTTTTCCTCTATTCTGTCCACTCACTACACGCTTGCAGTTTAAGCACTTTCTGGTTATGTACCTGAGCACTTTGAGAACCTCTTATGCACCAGCATTTTTTATTGATTGTTAATAAAAATGTATTTATTTTATTTTTATCTTTTTGGTACCGAGTCAAGGAATAGTACAACTGGCATCCTATTTGTGACTTATTATAGATTTTGTACATACTTTCCTAGTTCCCTTCGGAGGTACGCTGCTTTTCTTTATTTCAAACAGTTTTTAAAAAAAACAACCAAAAAAATCTACATTACATATCCGTTTATTTTGGCATGTTCAACCTATAATCAGAGCTAGAATTTATTATAAAACATGTCATTACATTTATTATAGAAAGCTTAAATTGTATTGTGGCTTAGCTATTTACCCATTTGACTAGAGCTGTGTGTATGTTTTTAATAAGAATTTAAAGCTGAACAAAATTAATCTTTACTTTCTTATTAATACAGTTGCTAGTAAACGCATATATTATTTTCCCAAGGTTTTATCTGCCTGTCTATGTGTCTAAACATTTCCTCCCAGCAACATGGCTTATACACGTGTGCTGAATTTTGTTTTCCATTGAAAAAAAATGCAGCATAAGAATAATCCACTTTGCTACATCACTAGTTCTACCTGTACAGTAATGAATGAACATTCAAGGACACTGCTCTGGCCCCCTGTGTCTAAGCATCCCTCCCTCTTACCATACTCTACCGCTACTTTTTGTAGGTCAAACATTAAGGCTCATCCTAGGAACTGCCTGTGGGCACTGTCTCCGATTTCTATGTCCAGATTTGGACAGCATTGATTAGCTGACACTACCAGCGAATCAGTCCTGTCCTATTTTTGATGTAATTGTGCACATGTAATACAGTAAGTAGTTATATAGAATACAATTTTGACATTTCTGATGTTGGAATACGCCATGACTTGGCAGAGGTCACAAAAATGTTGTTGTTTTTTTAAATGGCTAAATCTGTCTGAATTTTGCAAATCCAATAGAACTGTCTATACAGGTAAATAGATTCTAGATTACTGCTACCTAACAAAGGAGACACTTTTTAGCTGCATCTTTGTTAGATTGCCTACTGTAGTTCTATATATGGTGGATGTTTTTTTAAGGTCAACTAAACAACTGCATTTTATGTTGTTACAGAAGCAGCATCAGAGACATCTATAAGCCCATCTTCATGTAAGAATATTATGGGTTTTATATAAACTGAAGTACAGGCTGATTAAAAATTACATAAATTAATGCATACATAGGTGAAATAGTTTAAAGGGACACTGTAGTCACTATACGCATTTCATCTCTTTGAATTGGTTATAGTGCCTGGAGTGCCTGGCATTGTCCCTCCATTCAGTGTTGCACCATGTTCGTGCAGTATGCCAGAAAATAAGAGTCCCTGGCCACCCACAGTCCGGCCCCTTCAGTATGTGTAGCTAAGGCAGAGATTACACACTTCCTTGTTGTCATACCCATTCATACCGTCAGTTGTAACTCTGACAGGCTAAAAGCAGTCAGCTGACACTCTCAGCCAATCACAGCTGCTTAGGCTAATACTTCCTTATTAGCCAAAGCAGCACAGAGGGGATGGATTGCCGGGGAGTCTTGTTTAGCATTAAAACATTAAAACTTTAAAAACTGTTTAATGATGATAGAAATGATGGGACCAGAGTACTCCAGACACTATAACCAGTTTAATGAGATGAAGCAGATACAGTGCCTACGGTGTCCCTTTAACCATTTTGCTCTTTTCAAATTACCAGCTTTATTTACAAGGAAATTATTATTATTATTATTATTATTATTATAATGCCATTTATAGAGCGCCGTCAAATTCCGCAGCGCTTTACAATGGGTGGACGAACAGACATGTAGTTGTAACCAGACAAGTTGGACACACAGGAACAGAGGGGTTAAGGGCCCTGCTCAATGAGCTTACATGCTAGAGGGAGTGGGGTAAAATGACACAAAAGGTAAGGATAGTATTAGATTAGTGACAGTTGCAGTGGGTTTTTAACGATTTTTTGAAGCAGTGGAGACTGGGTGAGCATCTAACGGAGGAGGGAAGCGAGTTCCACAGGAGAAATCTTGAAGGCGAGCATCAGAGGAAATGTGTGTTCTCTCTAAAATAGCTTTGCTGCTTAACCTGAATTTTAGAATTCTTTATTTAATCCAGAGTTTAGTGAATAACCCTTCATAATAATATCATTTACTATTTTAACATTGATTCAAACTTGAAATTCAGACATGGAATTAATAGTTTTGCTTTATTTGCTTTTCACAGTTTCTCTAGATTGTTCTTGGTCAGCAAAACTGTTAACGTCACCAATTACTATGTAAGTACAGTTAACCACACATCCACATCATTTGCATTTATTTTAGTGTTTTTGTTGTTTGCTATTTAATGTTAACTCCTTCAGTACGGAATCAATAGTGCACGTTCTGATCAAAACAAAACGTAAACAAAAACTGGAATTTGCGCTATATGTCTGTTCAACCGTAATTCACCGTTGTCACATTAAGTGCACCCACACTTATTATATATCATTTTGTTCAGGAGAAACAGGGCTTTAATTTACAATTAACTATTCATATATGGAACATAATTTATTATGAATAAAATTTAAAAAAATGTGAGAAAATAAGATTTTTATTTAAATTTGTATTTCCGTCAGACATTTTAGCTGTAAATGTCATAATACTGTTAGGTATTACTGCAAAAAAATGCACATATTTGTAATCAGTGATGTCTCATGAGTACAACAGTACCCCCCAGTAACAGGTTTTATGGTGTTTTGGAAAGTTACAGGGTCAAATATAGAACGTTCCATTTTCACATTGAAATTTGCCAGATTAGTAATGTTACTAATACCTTTGAGACGGTGTGGTAGCCCAAGAATGAGAATTACCCCCATAATGGCATACCATTTGAAAAAGTAGACAACCCAAGGTATTGAGCGTGGGGTATGTTTAATCTTTTTTAGTAGCCACTTAGTCACAAACACTGGCCAAAGTTAGCGTTCATATTTGTTTTTGTGTGAAAAAAGCAAAAAACTAATATTTGGCCAGTATTTGTGACTAAGTGGCTACTCGGAAAGACTGGACATACCCCACTTGTAATACCTTGGGTTGTCTACTTTTGCAAATGGTATGCCATCATGGGTGTAATTCTCATTCCTGGGCTACCATACGCTCTCAAAGGCAACATAACCAATCTGGCAAATTTCAATGTCAAAAAAATGAAATGCAAGCCTTATGGGGAGTACTATTATTCTCAGGAGACTTCACTAAACACAAATATTAGTATTTTAAAACAGTAAAACATATTACAACAACAATATAGTCTATAAAAGTGCTGTTTGTTTGTAAAAAATTGTCACTTTTACTTAAAATATCATCGTTGTAATACAATTTACCAGTTTGAAACACTAATATTTAAATTCAGCGAAGTCTCCCGAGTAAAACAGTACCCCCTATGTACAGGTTTTATGGTGTCTTGGAGAGTTACAGGGTCAAATAAAGTGCTTGCGAATTAAATTCTCTGCACTTTCTCCCTGTGTTGTCAGGCATGTCAATCAAATTTTAATTAATCAAATCACATAATTATGTTAAAAGATTACTTAAATATACACATAGAATTTTAATATATATGCATTTATAAGTATTTAAATTCTATGTATATACTAGTGCAATCTTTTATGTAATTATATGTATTTATATATATATATATATATATTTGCGGTTATTTGTATTTTATATATAGATAGATATATATAGAATGTCATTCTAAGTGTATTTTGTTACCAATATATATATATATAGATATTAATAACAAAATACAGTTAGAATGAAATTACATATGAATATATTATTTATATAAAATTTTGTTTCAATATTTTATCTATTTATTTATTTTATTATTTTATTTATTTATTATTGTAATTATACGTATATATATATATAATATATGTGTATATATCTATTATATTTATAATATATATACATATTATATATATAACGTCATTCTAAGGGTATTTTAATACTAATATATGTACTTATATTAATATTAAAATACACTTTGTTTGACATTACATATATATAATATGTATATATATTATATATATAATATATATATACATATATTATATATATTAATACATTTCTATTTTAATTTTACACGTTTAATTCTTTTTTTTTTTTACTTTCCCACCAGCAGAGGGACTGTCTGACATTTCAGACAGTCCCCCTGCTGGCAGATCCACAGCCAGCTATAGGGGGCCATGTGATCGCTCTTTGAGAGCGATCACATGGCCCCCGGGGGCCTCATTTGCTGGGGGAGGGCTGCCTGGGCTGTCAGGCAGCCCTCCAGAAGAGGATCGCGGTGGGGGTAAGTCCACCGGACCTCCTGGGGCTGCAAGCCGTTACGGCGTTCTATGCTGCCGCAACGGCTTTAAAGCCCTTTTAATGCGGGACGGCATAGAACGCCGTAACTGCATTAAGGGGCTAACACGTGTATATAGCACAATGTTCAGCAAATTATTGTTGTTGCTGTATGGTGAAAATTTTGGAAAATATATTTGCATGTCACTTATATATAGTATACATACATATACACATATACACATACATACATATATGGAACTCGACGGCTCTGGAATACAATTCCTTGTCTAGGTGCGAAGCTCCAGCCAAAAAATGCAAAGCAAAAAATAAAGAGAGCACTCAAAGGACTTCTTCATAAATATGTCGCTGCTGTTATTGAAGCAGGCTCTCTGCAAATGTAAATAGAGATGATGTTTCAGTCCTACACTGGACTTTTATCAAGATCTTGATAATCAAGATACATGTGATAATTTCTCTTTTAGTACAATTCTAGGGATCTCAATTATACAAATAGAATCAACTGGTCATTTTTCTTTTTTTTTTTTTTCATTTAGAGTTAACTGTCCTAAGGGATGCCAAAAAGCAAAAGGAGAAGTATATGGATTTTCTCCCTATCAAGGAGTAAGATTACATTTCAACTCACATGGTTTTTTTTGCTGTTTTTTTATTTGCTTATTTTAGAGTAAAACATTATGAAAATACATACCAATTATCCCATTCAATTAATAATAATGTTTCTTTTTAGGATTCAGCGATTTGTCGAGCTGGTATTCATGCTGGAATAACCAACGATGAAGAAGGAGGACCATTAGTTGTAATAAAGAAGCCAGGAGAAAATAGTTATCGGGAATCCACAAGAAATGGAGTTGAATCAAAGAGCTTCGGAGCCTGGTCTGAATCATTCATTGTGAGCTCACTGGATGATTTCCAACGTAACAGACACATGTACACAGGCTACAATGTCAACTTCCAAGGAGCAGGTATGTTTATTTCTTATGTTTTCTGAGAAATAAAGTGTTTACTAAACATATGTTGTATGTTAACACCGACTTATCTGAGACATTTCCCACCTTTGCTATTGTGAAATTATTTTTACAGGTAGTTCTGTAATCCTACAAATGTCTTAATCACATCAAGCCTTATAGAACTAAAAGTCAATATTTGCATTTATTGCAGAGATGAGGTTACATGTTTACTTACCTGTTAGTTGTTTAGTTGTTTAACTTTTTACCTTAATGTATTATCTCATCTCAATAGAATGCATGGAAACGTGATATGAGGCATTAAAAAAGAAAAGCAATTTAATTTCCAACATGTATTAATTGAAATAATTGTATAGTATAGATGATCTTCTTATAACGGTTCTGTATGGCTGTAAATTTATAAGAATAGATAATATTTCTGTGAGCTCAACCCTCCAAGATACGTTAATAGACCAGCATTGTGGGTTGACAGTGTTATAAACTACAGGTAACCCAGGAGAAGCATCAATGCTCTCCATAAATGTATAGTATCCAAAATGCAGAATGCAATAAACTCAGACACATGAATAACATCATGGAATTAAGTTAAGCTCTAACTGGTTCTGTGGTGTTTGTGCCACACAATGTCCCAGTGAGAAAGAAAATTGCAGATAAGATCATAACTCAGTCTATCCATTTACTTTCCATTACACAATGCTAAATACCTAAATCAACACTATGGGCAGCAACTCAACTTAAAGAGACACTAAACTCTCCCAGACCACTTGATCTCAATAAGGTGGTCTGGGTGCAGTGCCCCTGTCCTTTTAACCCTGCAATGTAAAACATTACTACTTTCGAGAAACTGCAATGTTTATATTCCAGGGTTAAATCCACCTCTAGTGGCTGTCGGAATTGTCATGATTCTTGTGTTGTAGGTTTGACTTGAGATTAGATGCTTCTTAAGGGGTCTCCCTCCATCTTATCCATCTCAGTGTATGTCCAACAGTTTATTTTGGTGCACTCTGGACTCTCTGCCCTTTTCGTGGTTCTGGTGTCAAGATTAATGAGTTCATTTTGTTACTTTTTGTCTTGTCCTGTTTGCTATCATTTTAAATTATTTCCTATCCGTTTCTTGTTTTATTGATATTGAGTAACTCTAGTATTCTGACCTACCTAGTCTTCACCCTGTTATAGTTATTCCATTAAGCTTATACACTCTGAGGTCCGGTAATATGTCCTCTTTTCTCTGGCCAAACGTATCTAACTTCTCTGGTTGGGTTCTTTGTCTTCACTGTGTGTGTGAGGGCAATAGGAATTTTTAACATTATTTTGTGCAGAACTTTGCAAATACATTACACCGCACTGCTTAGTAAATAGACTTTAAAATGTTTTTGCCTACTGAAGTAGCGCTTTCCTTTACACACACACACACACCGGTCTACTACAGTAGTCAAGAAACAAATGTGTGATATGTTAGATATGGTTCTTCATAATAAATAAATACTTAAAATTCATATTGTTACAGAGGCAGCTAACGACAATAATGAAATTCCATCTTCAAGTAAGTATATTATTGTTTTATGTCAACTTGAAGTACACTGAAAATAATTATATTAATACGTGGCTTAAGTAGGTTGATCAAATTACCTGAAAAATATTAACTTCAGGGATTGCTTTATAACATAGGTTGCAGAGTGCTGTCTGTAATGTACTGACAATAGGCTTGTAGTATGCATGTAGTATATGTATACCTGAAGAATTTAGCAACGCTGTCACTCTAGAATGAAAACTTGTGGAGCTAGTTGTTCCCAGAAATCAGTATTATAGTACAAATATGTTTAATTTAACCTTAAAGGCACACTACAGTCACCAGAACAACTACAGCTTAATGTAGTTGTTCTGGTGAGTATAGTAGGTTCCAGCAGGCTTTTTATTGTAAACAGAGAAAAGGCAGTGTTTACATTACAGCCTATGGACGATCTGAGGAGTGGCTACTGGAGGTGCTTCCTGGGGTAGTGCTACACAGTGGGCAGCACTGACGTTTTGGGTCTCCATGCTCTGCATGACGACACTGAACTTTCTTCGTGGAGTTGCATTGATCTCTACGAGGAGATGCTGATTGGCCACTGCAATGTTTAGGCCCACTCCTCCCCCGCCCCCTCAATGATCTCAGTCAATCCAATGCTTTCTCTATGGGAAAGCATTGGATTAGCTAGGATCAACAATTCTGGTGATGTCATCCAAAGAGGCAGATTGGGGGCGGTGCAGACCAGTGGAGAGCTGGAAATAAGGTAAGTTTTAACACTTTCTAAGGGGCAAGGAAGGCAAGCCACCTAAATGGTGATTTTAACACTATAGGACTATAGGGTCAGGAAAATATGTTTGTGTTCCTGACCCTATAGTGTTTTTTAATGTGTTCTTTTTGGTTTTTTACAGCCTGGGTTTGTGCTTATTAAAACAAAAGCAAAAAAAGCCTATAAACTCTTCCGCAATCCTTTACCAAGAAGGAGTATGGTGGCAGCTGGTCCACCTGTTCTAAGATCTGACAGATGATCCAATCCACTACTTCTTAATGTATAAATGTCCGTCTCTCTCTCTTCCTGCTGAGAGGACGCATGGAGCAGCGCCTTGTGAACCCCACGTAGGAAGTCAAACCTTTATAAAATGGTTTGCCTAGTTCCACTGGAGGGTTCGCAGTGCACTCCTGGCACCATAACCACTACAGTGTTCCTTTACCTGATTAACAAAGAGGTTATGCTTTCATAGACAGGAATGTTCCTTTAACTGATTAACAATGAGGGCATTCTTTCTTAAAATGGTATTAATTGGTCATCCACATAAGTAAATGCAAATGCTTTGCTACAAATGTACAAGAGAGAACTAGCAAATATGTTGACATGTTTGAGTTATGCTTAGTACTAAACAATGTATTAATATTACTAAATGTAATAAAATCTGATGCGTCATTTGGAATTAATGTTTTTATTTTACTTATGTTTTACAGCTGTTACCCAGTGTTTTTGGTCAGCGAAACTCATAAAATCACCAATTGCAATGTAAGAACTGTTACCCAGAAAGTCAAGTTGTATGTAGAAGGTGTTCATATTACTTTACATATTTTTATAATTTTTATATTGCACCAGATAAATGAGCCTAAATAAAGAAACAGTAACTCTAAAACAAAGTAAAGGGGCTGCTTTTGAGATATCTATAGCTATGTCTCTGAGATAATACAAATAGGGGTAAGGGGTATGTAGCAGAGCCTTAGTCCTGACCATGACTCTCCCTCTGCTACGATCAAGAATTCAGGAACTCAGGAACAAGAAATAGCCAAGTGAATAGTCCACCTCCTCCCCAGCAACTGGACGACACACAGTTCTGGGAGTACAACTGATTTTATTCTGGCCACACACGACTTTTATGCACTGACACCTAGCATGGGGTCTCCACATCAAGAATTCAAGGGTTTTCCTCCCAGGAGTCTCTGTTACACAAATTACAGCCACACAGGAAAGAACTCAAGTTAATCACATATTTGTGTTAACAGCAAGGGGAGGTCAGCGTTCGAAGGGTATAACAAGGAGGGACCACACACACGAATGAGCTGGTACGGACAACCGAACACCAGGAAAGGGAGTTTGTTACAGGGTACTCTCATAAATATTTTGAGAGGGATAGATAAAATTAATATGGTATCCAAAACATGGAAATAGAGGATGAGAACAAAGAGTGAGCCAGCCTACAGATGTCAAGAAACTGCAAAACCTGGAATAGAAAATTTCAGTAAACTATGTTGAATGGTTCAGATAGGTTGTATCCTTTCATTTTAGATATATAGAGTACAATGCAATACTAGAAAAGCAGAAATCACACTAGGGAGGTAAATAAAGATATTATGGGTGGTGGACTGAACATGTGGCAGGGTGCAGTTATTGAAAGTTCCATGTCTAGACGACTACTATTAACCTATTTATAGCTGCTGTTCCACCAATATGCTTACAAATTGCTGTCATCTGACTCTCGCACTTGTAATGGATGGAAAAATTAAGAAACTGACTAGAGATTACCCTGCTAAACACTTATTTATAGGGCCCTTTCTATTCAGTGGGGCTTGACCAGAACTGCCTACATGGTGCGTCTTTGGTCTATGGTTCTACAAAGAATCCTCTCAGGCTAGATTGGGGAAGCTAAGTTGAGGAGCCTCCCCTTCAAATCATGTTTTGCAGATGCTTTGGCTATAGCAAACAACAAGCAATATCAGAAATCATGGAATCCCAGAGTTTGTAAACTGAAGTCTTTCAGAATTTTGCAGTTTCAATTTCAATAGATCTCCAGTTGAAAGAAGAGTGGGCCCATGGGATGTGAAAGGCAATTTTCTTATAAAGAATTGAACGACAATTTATTGTATCTGCCCCCTTACATGTTTGCAAAATATGTACTAATTTTTAATGTGGCAGTTCCTCTTTAAATTAATACAATCCAACCTTTTCTTACAACATAAAATATTGAAGAAATCATTTTTTCTTTCTACTCAGAGTTATTTGTCCCAAAGAATGTCAAAATGCAGAAGGAGACGTATATGGAACTGATATATATAATGAGGTAACATGAAACTTAAACTATGACAATTTAGTCATTTTTGTTGTTTGTTGCTTTTTTTTGTTGAAAATACACAAAAATTAAAAACTTGATCAATAATAACTTTGGTTTTTAGGATTCAGCCATTTGCCGAGCTGGTATTCATGCTGGAGTAGCCAACAATGAAGAAGGAGGACAATTTGTTGTGGTGAAGAAGCCCGGAGAGAATAGCTATCAGGAATCCACAAGAAATGGAGTTGTATCAAAGAGTCACGGAGCCTCGTCTGGGTCATACATTGTGAGGACACTTGATGATTTCAAGCGTAACAAACACTTGTACACAGGCTACAATGTCAACTTCCCAGGAACAGGTATGGTTCTAGTAAAATATATATATATATTTTTTTTTAATAAGAAATAAAGTATTTCTTTACTAAACATGAATTGTAATTTGTTGACAACCAGTTTGCTAGTGGTGGAATATTTTTTATATGCAGCTACAATGTCAACTTCCAAGGAGCTGGTATGTTTATTTTTTTATGAGAAAAAAAGTGTTTACGAAACATTTGTTGTTGTTTGTTGACAACCAACTTATCTGAGATATGTCCCACCTTAGCTATTGTGAACTTATTTTAACAGGTAGTTGTGTAATCTTACAAATGTCTATTTTACACCAAGCCTTATGGAGCTAAAATTCAATATTTGCAATTATTGCACAGATAAGGTTACATTTTCACTTACCTGTAAGTTAGTTGTTTAACTTTTTACCTTAATGTATTATCTCATTATCTCAATAAAATGCATGGAAACATGATATGAGGCATTTAAAAAAGCAATGTAACAATCAAAATACCTCTATAGTATAGATGACATATTCTTATAAGGGTACTGTATGACTTTAAATTTATAAGAAAAGATAATATTTCTGTGGGCCCAACCCTACAAGATACTTCAATAGACCAGCACTGTGGGTTGACAGTGTTATAAACTACAGCTAACCCAGGAGAAGCATCAATGCTCTCCAGAAATGTATAGTATCCAAAATGCAGAAAAGACACATGAATAACGTCATGGAAGTAAGTTAAGCTGTAACTGGTTTTGTGGTGTATGTGCCACACAATGTCCCAGTGAGAAAGAAAATTGCAGATAAGAACATAATGCAGTCTATACATTTGTTTATTTTTCCATTAACACAATGTTAAATACTTAAATGAACTCTCAGGACAACAACACAACTTAAAGGGACAGTAAAGTCACCCAGACCACTTGATCTCAATTAAGTGGTCCGTGTGCAGTGCTGCTGTCCTTTTACCCTGCAACATTTCAACATTTGAGAAACTGCAATGTTTACTTTGCAGAGCTATATCCACCTCAAGTGGCTATTGGACCTGTCACGATTCTTGTGTTGCAGTTTTGAGTTTAGATGCTCCCTAAGGGTTCTCCCACCACCTATGTTATCTAATCTTTAACCCTTCCTTGTTTTATTGATATTGCGTGACTCTAGTATCCTGACATACCTTGTCTTCACCCTGTTATAGTTATTCCATTAAGTCTATCCACTGTAAAGTCCAGTAATATGTCCTCTTTTCCCTGGCCAACTTGTCTAACTTCTCTGGTTGGGTTCTTTCTGTCAGAGTCATAGGAATTTTCAACATTATTTTGTATGGAACTTTGCAAATTCAGTACACCTCACAGCTTAGTGAATAGACTTCAAAATGTTATTGCCAACAGGAGTAGCACTTTCCTTTCCACATATATAGCTTTGACTGGTCTACTTCAGAAGTCAAGAGACAAATGTGTGATATGTTAGATATAGTTCTTCATGATAAAATAAATATTTACATTTTTTATTGTTACAACAGCAGACATCGACAATAATGCAATTCCATCTTCATGTAAGTATATTATTGATGTTTGAAGTGCACTGAAAATAAATATATTAATATGTGGCTGCAGTATGTTGTTCGCATTACCTGACAAATATTTATTTTAGGGATTCCTTTATAACACAGACTATAGAGTGCTGTATATAATGTACTGACTATAGGCTTGTAGTATGCATTTGGTAGACATATCACAGAAACATTCAGCAATGCGGCGACTCTAGAATGCAAAGTTTAAAACCCGTGGAACTAGTTGTTCCCAGAAATCAGTATTATCGAATATGTTTATTTTAACCTTAATGCGTTTTTTTTGGTTGTTTAGATTCAGGGTTCATGCTTATTAAAACAAAAGCAAAGAAAAAGCCTCTAAACTCTCCTCTTATCCAGGACATTAATGAACTATGCTGGCAGCTGGTCCACCTGTTCTAATATCATCCTGACAGATGGTCTTCATCCAATCCACTACTTCTTCTTAATGGAAGTTTCTGCTGGGAAGAAGCAGGGAGCAGCACCTAGTGGACCCCAGTTAGGAAGTCAAGCCTTTCTAAAATGGTTTCGCTACTTCCATTGGAGGATCCACAGTTAACTCTTAGAACTATAACCACTACTGTGTTCCTTTAATTGATTAACAAGGAGGTCATGTTTTGGTAGAAATGAATGTTGCTTTACCTGATTAACAATGAGGACATGCTTTCGTAGAAAGGTATTAATTGGTCATCCACATAAGTAATGCTTTGCTACAAATGTACAAGATTACAGTGGTTCTGAGATAAATTTGTGAGAGATCCAGCAATAACCCTGATGTGTTTTGTGTTATGCTTAGTCCTGAGCCATATTTTAATAATATTACCAAATATAATAAAATCTGCTGCTTCATTTGGAATTAATGTTTTTATTTTGCTTATATTTTACAGCTATTACCCAGTGTTTTTGGTCAGCAAAACTCATAACATCACCAATTGCTATGTAAGAACTGTTACATAAAAAGTAAAATTGTATGTATACAATGTATATATATAGAGAGAGAGAGAGACAATAATAAAGAAACGGTAACTCTAAAGCAACTCATAGTGCCAGCTTTTGAGATAAAAGATGTAGTGATGTCTGTGAGATAATACAAAGAGGGATAAAGGGTACTCCCATAAAGATTTTGAGAGGGGTAGATAAAAATGATTTGATTTCCAAAACATGGAAATAGAGGATGAGAACAAAGAGTGTGCCAAGAAAATGCAAAGCCTGGAACAGAAAATGTCAGTAAATCATGTTGAATGGTTCAGATAGGTTGTATCCTTTAATTTTTAGATATATAGAGTACCATGCTATACAGGAAAATCAGAAATCACCCTTGGGAGGTTAATAAAGATATTATGAGTGGTAGACTGAGCAAGTGGCAGGATGCAGTTATTGAAAGCTCCATGTCTAGACAACTACTATTAACCTATTTATAGCTGCTTTTCCACCAATATGTTCAGAAATAGCTGTCATCTGACTCCCGCACTTGTAATGGAATGAAAAATCAAGAAAATGACTAGGGATTACCCTGCTAAACACTTATCTATAGGGCCCTTTCTATTTAGTGGACCTTGACCAGAACAGCTTTTCTGCGTCTTTGGTCTATGGTTTTCCAAATAATTCTCTCAGCCTAGATTTGGGAAGCAAAGTTGAGGAGCCTCCCCTTGTTTGGCATTCAAATCATATTTTGTAGATGCTTTGGCTATAGCAAACAACAACAATATCAGAATTCATGGAGTCCCAGAGCTTGTAAACTCAAGCTTGTCTGAATTCTGCTGCTTTAATTCCAACAGATTTCCAGTTGAAAGCATTGTTCATTTTGACGACTAACAATTTTAGTCACATTTTGCAGAACCAACAGTTGCCTGTGAAAATGATAATAATTACATTAGTCAAAAAACAGCAAAGCTTTTTCTTAGTTTTTTTTCAGTATGGCTACTTTAACATACATTTCCAATGTAATGTATTTCTCATCGTACCACAATTTCTTATAAAGAATTGAACCACAATTTATTGTATCTGCCCCCTTACATGTTTGCAAAATATGTACTAATTTTTAATGTGGCAGCTCCTCTTTAAATTAATACAATCCGACCTTTTCTTACAACATAAAATATTGAAGAAATAATTTTTTTTCTTTCTTCTCAGAGTTAATTGCCCCAAAGAATGTCAAAATGCAGAAGGAGACGTATATGGAACTGATATATTCCAGGAGGTAACATGAAACTTAAACTATGACAATTTAGTTTTTCTTGTTGTTTGTTGTTTTCGGTTTTATTTTTTTGAAAATACACAAAAATTAAATACTTAATCAGTAATAACTTTGGTTTTTAGGATTCAGCCATTTGCCGGGCTGGTATCCATGCTGGAGTAGCCAACAATGAAGAAGGAGGAAAATTTGTTGTGGTGAAGAAGCCCGGAGAGAATAGCTATCAGGAATCCACAAGAAATGGAGTTGTATCAAAGAGTCACGGAGCCTCGTCTGGGTCATACATTGTGAGGACACTTGATGATTTCAAGCGTAACAAACACTTGTACACAGGCTACAATGTCAACTTCCCAGGAACAGGTAAGTTTCTAGGAAAATGTGTTTTTTTATGAGAAATAAAGTTTTTCTTTACTAAACATGAATTGTGATATGCTGACAACCAATTTGCCAGTGGAATATTTTTCCTATGAAGAAACCTGGTGGAAAATATGCAGTAGAAATCCATGTGGAGTGCAATCAGATGCCAAGGTGCCATACATACTGAGCTTGATACATGTATACTCAGGGGCGGATTGACCACTCGGGCACATCGGTCATGGACCGAGGCGCTGAGACAGTCAGGGGCCCGGCCGCACAGCCATGCTCCAGATGGAGAGACCAGAGATCTCTCCAACTGGAACGAAAAAATAATAAAACAAAACTATATAATTGATCGGTTGTGGGGCCCCTGATGGAGCACAGGGCCCCACAACCTACCGCTCTGCAAGTCACCCACCCCCCCTCAAATGAGACCTGGCAGCTTCACCAGCTCTCTCTCTGCCAGGTCTCCTTCCTGTCCCACACGGTGCTCTGTGTGATGGAGAGGCGGGGCTAGGAAGTGACCTCATTTCCTGTTTACTCCTATCACACAGAGCCCGATCAGCAGGGGAAGGAGCAGCAGCCTGGGAGATCAGAGGGAGCAGAGAGAAAGGTAGGCACTAGTCACCCCCCTCACTGTGTCACTAGTCACCCCTCCCTCACTGTGTCACTAGTCACCCCCCCTCACTGTGTCACTAGTCATCCCCTCCCTCACTGTGTCACTAGTCACCCCCCTCACTGTGGCACTAGTCACCCCCTCCCTCACTGTATCACTAGTCACCCCCCCCACTGTGTCACTAGTCACCCCCTCACTGTGTCACTAGACATCCCCTCCCTCACTGTGTCACTAGTCACCCCTCCCTCACTGTGTGTCACTAGTCACCCCCCACTGTGTCACTAGTCAAATTCCCCCACTGTGTGTCACTACTCTCACCCCCCTGTGTCACTACCCCTGTGTCACTAGTCACCACTGCAGTCACTAATCACCCCCCCACTGTCACTAGTCACCTCCCCTCACTGTCACTAGTCACCCCCCCACTGTCACTAGTCACCTCCCCTCACTGTCACTAGTCACCTCCCCCCACTGTCACTAGTCAGCTCCCCCCACTGTCACTAGTCACCCCCCACTGTCACTAGTCACCCCCTCACTGTGTCACTAGTCACCCCCCCCCGTGTCACTAGTCACCCCTCCTCACTCTGTCACTAGTCACCTCTTCCTCTGTCACTAGTCACTTCTCCCAATCCTCTGTCACTGTCACCCTCCCTCCTCTCTGTCACTTTCCTTCTTCATGTCACCCCACCTCCTCTGGGTCACTTCAGCTGCCCCTTCCTCCATCTGTCACTGTGTCATCACCTCACCTCTGTCACTAGTCAATTCTCCTCTGTCACTAGTCTCCCTCTGTCCCTAGTCACCCCCTCCCTCTGTCCCTAGTCACCCCCTCCCTCTGTCACTAGTCACGTCCTCCCTCTGTCACTGTGTCACCTCCTCCCTCACTCTGTCACTGTGTCACCTCCTGCCTCACTCTGTCACTAGTCACCCCCTCCCTCTGTCACTAGTCACTCCCTCCCTAACTCTGTCACTGTGTCAACCCTTGTGGCAAAACCAACCTCGCCACGAAGCATTGGAGAAGCTTGGTTGCTCGCCTGTTGCCTTTGGACTATGGGCCCATGTTAAAAGCCTTCTTTTCCCCTGCAGAAAAGGCTTGTTCGTGCCGTTCTGCCCAGTGTTCGGTAGATTCAATCAACAACCGAATGACTGGACCACCTGTATTGGGAGTGTGTCGGCAATTTACCTCCCAGAAGCTGCGGTTAACCGCAGATTAATTGACAAATGCTGGGTGGCCTTTATTCGGTTGCGGCGGCCATTTTAAAGTCCCGAATGGCCAGCGGTGTTCAGTGCCCAAACTATGGAACTGGAAACGGACACTTATTTGCACGAACACCTCTGAGCTGTCAGCCTCCTTGCTTCCGCATTCGGTCATTTAACAGGATGCCTGTTCATTCGGTCATTTAAACGTATGAACAGCAATACCCCAGATAGCCATCCCGTGGAGTCTATTCGTATGGAGAACAGACTTTGTGAACACTTTGACTCCACGGCATAGGATCTGAGCGCTATTTGGTACTTTTGTGCGCTCAGATCCCAGCTATCTGGGGATGGGTTACATGTATATATTTTGTGTGACAAATGTAACATTGTGTATTTTATTGTATTTTAGTGTTTTATTGTAACCATGTGGGTAATGGAGTTTTGCCTCTGTCCTTGGAGATAATTGGATTACTTCCAAATTATCTCCAGGATAGAGGGGAGGGATTGTAATGTACTAGTGTTTTAACCCTGTATGCCTGTGATTGGTCATTTTACTATTTGTGTCCCAGTCTTCCATCTGGTCCCCTAGGGGAGTGTCCACCAGGTGGAAGACCTGCATAAATACCGGGCAGGTAGCCCTCAATAAACCAGACCACTGCTTGACCCCCAACACGGAGCTCTGTCTCGTTTTTGGGGGGATTTACTGTATGCTGACAGAAACTGATTGCCAGGAGTGTAAGCCACTTGGGTGCTTTTCCTGTTCGTCTGCTAGCAGCTATTTGTGAGGTTCCAGTTCGGGAGTTTGGAGTGCTACTGTATGCAGTTCGGGAGTTTGGAGCATTCCCTTGTATGTAGTTCGGGAGTTTGGTGTTCTGCAGTAGCTGTGCCTGTATCTCTGGAAGGGGAAGATCTTCTAAACAGTGGTTTAACCCTTTTATGCCTGGGGGTGCCGTTACACCCCTTCCCTCCCTTACTCTGTCGCTACTCACCCCTTCCCTCCCTTACTCTGTCACTAGTCACCCCCTCCCTCACTCTGTCACTAGTCACCCCCTCCCTCTGTCACTGGTCATCCCCTCCCTCACTCTGTCACTAGTCACCCACTCACTCTAGTGACAGAGTGATGGAGGGGAGTGACTAGTGACAGAGGGAGGGGGTGACTGGTGACAGAGTGAGGGAGGGAGGGGATGACTAGTGACAGAGGGAGGGGGTGACTAGTGACAGAGTGAGGAAGGAGGTGACTAGTGACAGAGTTAGGTAGGGAGTGACTAGTGACAGAGGGAGGGATGGGGTGACTAGTGGCATTCACCACCTCCCTCATTCTGTCACTAGTCACCATCTCCCTCACTCTGTCACTGTGTCACCCCCTCCCTCTGTCACTAGTCACCCCTCCCTCATTCTGTCACTAGTCACCCCCTCTGTCACTAATCACCCCCTCACTCTGTCACTAATCACCCCCTCACTCTGTCACTAATCACCCCCTCATTCTGTGACTAGTCACCCCCTCCCTCACTCTGTCACTAGTCATCCCCTCCCTCTCTCTGTCACTAGTCACACCCTCCCTCACTCTGTCACTAGAGTGAGGGGGTGACTAGTGGCAGAGTGAGGGAATGACTGGTGACAGAGTGAGGAAAGGGGTGACTAGTGGCAGAGTGAGGGAAGGAAGGGGTGACTGGTGACCATACCCAGTCTTACATCCAGTCACTATCCTCTTATTATCTACCCCCTATTCCCTTAGCATGGTTTTGAAATACAACAGAGATAATAAGAGGATAGTTATTGTCTGTGAAGGCGGAATCAAGTCAGCAGCTCTGCTCACAGTGGTAAATCATTGGCTAACCCGTTACCAATGTTGTTTGCCTTTCAATCAAAAAGATGTTTTAAGAAAAAGTGAGGTGTGGCTAAGGGAGTGGAGTTATGCTTCAGTAGGCAGAAAATGGTTTGCCCTATTTAAGCAAAACTAAAGAAATTTGAACAGAGAGAAAAATAAAACATGAATATGAGACCAAAACCTATCAAATATCACATCAAGTTGAGAGATAGCACTTTTGACCCGATGGTCAAGTACAATTGAGTTGCCTTTTTATTGTGCTTGAAACTCACGTAGGTCTGACATCATATTGTCGCTGCAACCTCCAAGTAACGTGTCCATCATGTTTGATTATTCACAGAGATCCTTGCATGTGTAAATGAGTCACACTCTATTTCCTCTTACTCCATTGGCAGTTATGACACCAAGAGTGTTTTTGAATATCTCATTTTAGACTGCTGTAAGCTGTAAACACTTCATTTTCTGGCAGCCTGTTCAAGCCCAAATACTGCAGTCCATAGAGAATTAAGAACATTATCAAGGCAGGCTACCAGCACATGCACAAACCCACATAGTCCTGGGCTAGCAGTTTTCTCAACAAACATCCACAGAAGAATGGTGTAAGACTTCATCCCACATCCTCACTGCCAGCATTCCAAAGTTAGTGGCCTGGGGGCAAGGTTGTGGCCTTTGCTAGTCCTCCCATGTTTGCTGCCCAGGGTATTCCATTAGCACACGTGGCCTGGGAAGACATTCCCTACATTGCTCCTGATGAAATAAAATTAATAATTATAATGAATCCTGCATGATTCTAGGCAATAAATAAATGGGTTCTACAAAGCATGTCATCAAGTTTATTTATTTTTTTTTTAATGCAGAGACTCGTCAAATGTTTTAATGTTGTAAATATTTGTCTATACCCTCACTGACTTTTTATTATTTGAGATTCTAATAAAGGTTATGCTTTCATCCACAGCGAAGTAAAGAAACATATTTTCTCTTTGTATGTAATTGCTTGCCTGGAGCTTAGACCCCATTACTTTGGTGTGCTACTAATTGCAGAATACCTTTCCTCCTACTTTTTGTGTTGTAGTAAAAGGCTGTAGTAAAATAAATGTGTCTCCATATCACTTCAAGCTGTATGTAGCTAATTGTCCATTTATGTAATCATTGCAGAGATGACAGTGGAGTACAACAAACCTAAAGGTTAGTTATGAATTTTACTTCAATAATACCAAAATAATTATTGTAAAGAACAATCCATAAATGCATTTATAAAAGATCAAACATTAAATGATAAATGTAGTTGGTCATCTGGATTGATAGATAGTTACATGTAAAATAGTAAATGATTAAGGAGTACATTTTTTATTTTATTTTGAAAATTCATGTATTAAATTCCCAGGGCCATTATTTGGGTGAGGAGAGTAGAGCACTGGCCCAGGGGCTAGGTGTCAGGCAGTAATTAAAGTGGCTGTGTGACAGCTTTCCTATTGCGGTTCTGCTTGACCCATGGAGTCTCCAAAACACTAATGTTAGTGAAAGCCAGCTGGGGGAGCATGAGAGCTGTGTACTAATGTGATCGTGTGTAACACCCTGCACTAAAATGTCACTTTCACTTTGAATTCATTTAGAATTCATGGAGATGAGCATAATAATGTAATGTAGGAAATTCCTGAAATTATAGATACATAGTTACATGGGCTGAAAAGAGACATGTGTGCATCAAATTCAGCATTTCTCGCATTTGTTTTTTGCTGTTGATCCAAAAGAAGGCAAAAATAACAGTTTGAAGCACTTCCAGCTTTGCAACAAACGAGGAAGAAAATCCCCTCTTGACCCCAGAATGGCAGTCAGATTTATCCTTGGATCAAGAACCTATTACCCTACAGTTAATGCATTATTTAGTTGAATATTCTGTTTTTGCAAGTATGCATCTAGTTGCTGTTTAAACATCTGTACGAACTCTGATAAAACCACTTCTTCAGGTAGAGAATTCCACATCCTTATTGTTCTTACAGTAAAAAAAAACTTTCTATTGCCTTAGACTAAATCTTTTTTCTTCCAGTCTAAACGCATGACTTTGTGTCCTATGTCTAGTCCCATGTATAACAAATACATTTCAGATCACACTGTATTTTAAAACATATGTGATATTCAATAAGAGTTTTTTGCTTTTTGTTTGTTTTTTACTTAAAACTCTATTTTATCTCTTATTTTAAGTTATTACAGAAACAACGTCTGAACTTCCAAAAGGTATTTTGTTTATGTTATGATTTTTCCTTTGCATTCCTGTCTTGATTTGTAATATTTTTTATGTTTTTGTTAAATTATTGGCTCAGCTCCTAGCAATCTGTTGCATTGAGATATGAAACTGTATTGCACATGATCCAACCGAAATGGAGTTAATGATTTGATCAGAGAAGAAAATGTTAAAAAAGGTTGAGACATCTGGATGTCTGTTCAACAGATGTTACATACTTTATTTAATGCATTCCAGCGTATAACATGCTTAGTGTAATGTATACAATACAATGGAATGTGAAAAATGTCTGTTGCAAAACATGTAAGACAAAGTTGTTATAATGTACTAATTTGTTGCTATATGTATAGAATGGAAGCATTATATAAATAAACATAAAATAAAAATTAATGTATATACTACTTACATAGTTATATATATATATATATATAATAGTAGAATATGCTGATTCAGCATGAGAATCTGGAAAAATGGTGAAAAAATCATGGATCTCTGTTACTTCTACCTTTTTTTGTGTACTCTACTAATTATAATGCCTTCTGTTTGTTTTTCTTTTTTTAATGAAATTAATCATTGAATAAGTAACTTGAATTGTATATCTGAATTCATATACATGACATGACAACTAGGTTCATATAAATGGAATCAACACATTGTACAGACCAACTTTGTGTCTTTAATAGATCATCTTTGTGTCCATATACAATTTTATATCTTTTTTAGTAATGTTTTTTTTAGTTTTGAATTAATTCTGATACACTTGAGTCTTAATACACTTATGCATAAATTCTATTAAAAGTCTGATTTACATTCCTCTTTTTGTAGTTTCTGCAAATTGTTTGATGAAAGCTAAGGATATACATGTTCCAGTTGCAATGTAAGTATGAATATGATATTGGCAGACAACCAACACAATGAGCCAACAAATACTAGCTTGACTCAAAAGTTGCTTATTCCATTTTAGGCCATTGTATATGAATAAATAATTGTAAAAAATCTCCAAGTCACTTATGTTTTCAGTTATTTTGGTCTAAAATTGTAGTTTCCCCTTGAATTTACTTTAATGGATAACACTGATACATTGATATACGACTTGATTGGGAAAGAACAGCAACAAAATAAGCATACTACAGAATAAATTAACTTACTGAGCTATTAACTAAAGTGAGAATTCAAGATGAATTCAAAGTGAATTTAAAATTTAAGGACAACATAGCCGAACTGGACAAAGTCTCCCAATCAGCTATGCTTTCAGTTTGGCTATTGTGGCCTTAAATTTTAAATTTCCTCTGAATTCATCTTAAATTCTCATCTTAGTGAATAACCCTGAAAACGTTTGCAACATACATAATATAAAGTGACAAAAAGTATTCACAGACTAGGTGCTATTAAATTACTCATACTTCACATGAAATACAGAAGTGCTTCTAATCAAGGAAGTTGGATTTCTACAGAGATATGGGTTAAGACCTATTGCAGAATGTAATTGTTTATTTTAGCTTAAAGGGTTACTCCTACCACCATGACCCATTTCAGTAATCTCCATGAGAGATGTCTGTGAGTGGACCATGCGCAGCCCCTGTGATGTCAGATGGAACGTGGAGGATTAGCTCTGGGAGCTTTGTCCGTGGCTAAATTTTTTATTTTGTAGGTTATTCTGCAACCAGATTCTTCATAGCGCCCAATAGGGCAATTTTTACAGGAAAGGTATCCCCACCCCGCTCCCCACCTAACCCTGTAATTTTTTTTTTCATTTATTTAGTATTGCAAACAAAATATGTTTTTTATATATATGTTTTTAAATGTATTATACTGTGTGTAATTTCCAAGATTTTGCTTTATTAGGTCATAGAACAGAGAAAGGATTTACATTGTAATAATTATAGAATAAAATCCATGAACATTATGCATCTTAGAAGTATGCATGAGGAATTAAAAATGTGACTATGTAACCGTGAGTCTGAAAAATTAAATGTGTGATCATATTTTTAACTTGTTTTTTCTATAAATATTCTGGCCTTAAAATCTAAACTAATTTGAATTCCCATTGATCTCCAGACAATTCACAGTTTAGTAAATAACCCTCCTTGGCGTCACATTCACTATGCCCTATGATGCTAATTCTGATAAATATGTGTGTAATCTATTTTACTAAATTATTTATTCTAAAATTAGAATCAATCTTGCAATCAAGTGTTTGTCTGAAATGCACTGAATATGTGGTATGGTTTCAATGTACTGCATTCCTATAATTCTTCCAATGTTTTAAATTCATTTATTGGTATAATAGTTGTTTATGTTTAATTTATTGTATTTTTATGTGTGTGTGTATATCTGTTCTTTCAGAATTGAATGTCCTGAAGGTTGTCTAAAACAGAATGGAGAGGTTTGGGGATCAGACATCTATACAGATGTGAGATGAGTTAATAGACCTATCTTGTGATAAATACTGTTTCACCTTTTGTTTCACCGTCTCATTTTAAGTATTAATAAGAACAATCCAGAGGAAAAGTTATCAGCAAGAATATTTAACTATTTTCCATTATAATAGCGCTACGCCTAAAGGAACTCTCCCAATAACATAGCCATAATAAATGAAACAATCCAAACACTACAACCATTACAATCTGATGTAGTGGTTATGGTGTCATTAATGCCTTAACACCTTACCAGGATAGAGCCCTCAGTTCCAGCCATTGAGGCAAATCTGCACAGCAGAGCTTAGCTCAGTGAAGCTCATAACATGTGCCGTACACTTACCAGATAAGTTGTCAAACTGTTCCAAAAGGTTAGATTACTTACAATTGTAGAGAACCACTTAACTACTGGCACCATAACCACCACAGTGGTTGTAGTTTTTATGGTTCTTAGAGTGTTCCATTAACCCAATAACTTTACTTTATATATAATCCTTGTTGTGATTTCACAGTACATGTCCACTTATGTCATAAAAAATGCCAAACTACCTGCTGTTAATCAATATGAGAACATCCATATCAGAATTGTAGCCTTCATTATTTCAGAAGGGCAGTTTGGCCATTTGTCCTTCTACCACTATGCTTTTAAATGTTCAAGTACTTAAATACTAAATACAACACAAAGTAAGAATGTGATATAAACAAAATACAAACATAGTTAATTAACATAAATTATATATTTCTGTTATTAGGAATCTGCAGTTTGTCGAGCTGCAATCCATTCAAACTTCATGGGAGATCAAGGTGGGAGTGTAATTCTTCAAAAGATACAGGGACAGGATAGCTACAAGGAGTCCACCAGAAACGGAGTGACCACGAAACCACAGGGCAAATGGTCTGGATCATTTATACTGAGTTTGTCATATGAATCTCAAAGCACCACATACACAGAGTACTCTTATACATTCCCACAAACAGGTGACTTTCTTTACTTGCTTTGCTATCCACGGCCTCAATTTAATATTATTAGATAAGCTTTTCAAATGATTTCATATTTTTGGATAAACTTTTTTTTTTTTACATTTTAAAATACCAAAAAATATATATAATTTACATAAAATATTCAAAAAATATCACAAAATAAAAATATATTCATGATATTAAATTGTTTTAAGCATTTATTTATTAACTCATTTTAAAAGCTTATGCAACAATATTAAATGTAGGCCCATATATTATACTAAGGATGTTTCTGTATCTTTACTGTACACTAACTTTTTGTTTTTCGTTTTGAAATAGGAATGGCTGGGCAGTCAAAACCAGAAACAGGTAACTCATCATTTCATTTCTTCCATTATTTACAGAATTCATGTTCCACTCTGGAATATGATCTTGGTGAACATGGTGAAATGCAAGATTTTACATTTTCATAACTGTGACAACAACAACTATTTAATGTTACTGGGATTATGGGAACTAATAAAAAGATAGCTTGTGTCAGCCTAAATAGCCCTGGTGAAAGAATTCTTTGCTATTTTGGTCTAAAAATGTAATTCCCTTGTCAGTCATCCACAATCCCTGCTTAGTAAATTAATATTATTGTAACAGTATTAGTAGTCGCATTTATATAGGGAGATATATATTCTGAAGCACTTTAAAATTTTAAATGGTTGATTTAACCCCTTAAGGACACATGACACGTGTGACATGTCATGATTCCTTTTTATTCCAGAAGTTTGGTCCTTAAGGGGTTAAGAGCAAATGAGACAGACTATTAGAAATGTTTGCAGCAAGAGCAGTGAACAGTATGTATGTTTTATCTTTCATTCTTCTATATTTGTCCTCTCATTTACAAATACTAAAACTATTATAACAAAAAAATTATTTAATAAACAAAGTTGTGAGTAATTATTTGGCCAACTTTACCCTGAATTAGTACCTAGATTTTAGTTTCATTGCTATTACTTTTTTAATAAAGGAACATCTAATCGCATTGGTTTCTTGGATAGTGTGTCACTGACAAAGTGGGAAACAGATTGCATAATAAAAAAATTAAAAAAACAAGTATAATAATGGGTTTAATATTGCATATAAAATAAATATGAATCCCACCGGAGCCTTCCTACTACTGACAGTGAATAAGTAACATTAGCGCATGCTTCATGTTAAAAATGTATTCCTGTAACAAAGCAATCTACAATACAATCATGCAGTAAATGATGAAAACTTTCCCTCAATCTAACTTTAAAATTATTTTGTATTAGTTTCAGCAGAATGTTGGTGGACAGGGGCACAATTACCTGGACCTTATACAATGTAAGTAAAGTCACAGAAAGTACAGTTTCAATTTAGAAAACAGCAGCTATATTGGTATTATACTAACAGTTCCCCTTTTTGGTGGGAAAGTCCCTATTCCAGGGTTCTGTCCCCCTATCCCAATTTTGATCCCTGGTGTCCAGCTATTGAGGACAACAGGGGCGGGTCTACAGAAAGTGTACAACAAGTTCATTATTAGACCTGCATGTTCTATGTTCAGAGTACTAGGACCAAGCATAGAGTGCAGAAACACTGTACTCTTTATTGTTCACCCTTAGTGTGTTCGACTACTTGATTGGCACGCCAAACTGAACTGCCTATTCTTCAGGCGGATCCACCTGCTTAGGGAGGTGCAAGTGACACAATTCATATAATTGTGTCACTTATGCCTCCTGCTCCCTTTCACTTCACCCACCAGCGTTCCACTTTACAGGACACTTTACATGACTGCTATTTGGGGATATGTATCAAGCGTATGCATAATTTTACTCTTTCGCCACTACATTTTATTTCTGATTTGTTTGCTGAGAAGGAAAGGTTTGGAAGGAAAATTAAAGGGTTTGAGAAAAACAGGGTCTTACCTAGAGCAGAGGTAGCCAGTTTTTACCCATATCTCCCATGTCTGCTAGAAGCATTACCAGCATATTCCCATGTGATTAATACACTAAACTGGGTATTGACGGGAACTGACAACGTGTAATGCTTACCTGCTCCAGCGCTTCTTCTCTCTAATTCAATGGCGGGACAGTTGCAGCATGCTGCTTGTGCGCACCTGTTTGTAGCCTGTCGCGCCAACGACAGAACGGCACGACTCTGAGCACCGATTCGGTCAGCACAAACGAACACAGAAAACTCCAAAAATTCGGCATTCGTACAAATTCGGGTCTTTACACGTTCTAAAATGATACCAGCCAATAGTGTTAATGCTCTGGCTATTTAAAGTCAGAGCTTGGTGGAGCAAGTTGCCCTGTTGTGGTTCTTGTTGACCCAAGAGTGAGTTTCATCTTTATTATTGTATTGGATAACACATAGTACAATGGCATAGCTAATATTGGTTGACCATGAAAACTCAATGTTTCCAGTTTTGGCTATTTTGGCCTAGAACTTGCAGTTCCCTTGTCAACGTTCCATTATTTCTGGTCTAATGAAAGTTCTTCTAAGTACCACCAAGCTCAAACTGTTAAAACTGTTAACTGATTTCTGACTAAACAAAGAAAAGGATTGCAATAGAGGGCACTTCTTGCGTTAGTGACTGATACTGGTACCTGAGGGAATAATATGTTACAACCATTAGCTTTTCAAACATGCTACAATAGCATCTCAGACTGTTCTGCTATGATATTACATCATTGTTTCTTCTTTCTTTTAGAATTATTTGTCCTGATGGATGTCTGACTCAGAAATGGGAAGTATGGGGATCGAAAGTTTATACTAATGTAAGTTTAACATTCCTGTATGATGTTTTTAGAAATATTATACATTTTGCACCAAACCCCACCCCCCTTATAAAAACAATGTATTGCCCAAAAAAAAAAGTAATTTTGAGGAATTTTGTTTCATTAGATGTCTTCTTTGTGCCGAGCTGCCATTCATGATGGTGTAATATCCAGTATAGGAGGCAGTGCACTCGTACATAAGATGCCAGGACATAATAGCTATGACGGAGCTTCAAGGAATGGAGTAACATCAAAGCCTCAGGGACAATGGACTGGGTCCTTTGAATTCAGTAAAGTATTTGATTTTCAAAGTACGACATCCACAGAAATATCTTACAAACCCCCTGAATTAGGTAACTTAACTTCCAATAATGTTTTTTTGTTACCAGTTATATCTATTCTTTATGAAACTCACACAATTCTATTTATTTTCTAAATAGCAAACCAAATTGTATTGGAGGCCCAGCCAGAAACAGGTATAGCTTTGCAAATTCATTTTTCCTATTTAAACCCTAGCTGTCATGTAAAAATTTGGTGGCATTTCATAGACATTAAAATGTAACCCATGCGAACCAATACCTGAGTTATTATTTTTGTTGTTGCATATTTGACAGTTTTGTTACCCTATGCTGTGTAAATGTCAGTTTTTAACAGATGGTATAACTGATTACAATATAACGTTGCACTGCTCTCCTGACTCTGTGAATGAGCATGTTTTGTGTTTTTCTTATTGTAGTCGTTGCAACTTGTTCATTAACCGGAAAGAAACTAACAGCACCAATCACAATGTAAGTATGAGCATGGGACGCTGGGCAAAAAAGCATAAGGAACGATAAACACTGTTGTTATTGAACTGACACACACATGTATATTAATACTTGAAGGAATAAACAGTCACTCAGTGGAAAATGTCTTCAAGTTGTAATTATTCATAAAGGACACCACACATGAACCATGTTAGGATAACCTATTATTACATTATACGGTTTTACGGTTTAGTGCTTTCACTTTGAATCAATAATTTTAGAACAGAATGTGATAAGATCGATTCATTTGTGCCAGTTTTCTAAAACACGTTATCTGCACTTTTTGGCAATGTTATGCTTGTATAACGTCCTTTGAAAAAAAAAAAGTATTTTCTGGCTTTCAAAATTAAAGACACTCCAGGCACTAAAACAACTTCATCTAAATTAAGTTGTTATGGTGTCATGAGGCCCCTGAAGGCACTCTTACCTCAAGGGGTTTAAACCATTCTAAAACGGGTTAACCCCTTAGTTGCCTCTTGCGCTGATCTCCACTCCCCCTCTGGTGGCTTCAGGCTTCTGAATTTTCACGTTCAGGAAGTGTGGAGTGCCGTCTTGCAGGGGCATGGCTGATTGGCTGAGAGCAGTCAACTGATGATCTCAGCCAATCAGTGACTCCCCATTCACTTAACTGGCTTGCAAAAGGTAAGTTTCTTTTCAAGCCAGTTTTAGTGAAGCCGGAAGCTGCCAGAGGGGGAGTGGAAATCAGCGCTTGAGGCAACCTAGGGGTTAAACCATTTGATAATGATTTATCCACTTGAAATAAGAGTGCGCCCAGGGACCTCCTAGCACCATAACAACTTAATTTAGATTAAAGGGGCACTATAGTCACCAGAATAACTTTAGCTTAATTAAGCCTTTTTTGTGTATAGATCATGCCTCTGAAGTCTCACAGTTCAATTATCTGCCTTTTAGGAGTTATATCACTTTTGCTTCTGTTTATGCAGCCCTAGTAATGCCTCCCCTGGCTGTCACTTACACAGCCTGCAAGAAAAAAATGGTTTCATTTTCACAAGTAAGTAACAGATGTTACTTACTTTAAAAGTTTTTATCTCCTACTCTACAAATTGAACTCTAATTACATACAGGAGGCTCCTGCAAAGTCAAGAAAGCTATTAACAGAGCATGATATATGCAATTCTAAATTAAACCGTATTTGCAATAAAGGAAGTGTAAACATTAGATGACTCTTTACAGGAAGTGTTTAGAAAGGCTGAGTAAGTCACATGCAGGGAGCTGTGACTATGGCTGCATAACCAATGTGATTTAACTCCTAAATGGCAGAAAATGAAGCAGTGAGACTGAAGGGGCATAATCTATACATCAAAACTGGTTTATTTAGCTAAAGTTGTTTTGGTGACTTTAGTGTCCCTTTAAGGCTAAAATAACTGAAATCAAAAGATTCTCTAAATGCCACCAGCTCGGCTATATTCCTCTAAAATTTGAAATTCACTTTGAATCCTCTATGAATTCCCAGCAATACTCAATTTAGTAAATAACCCTATAAAAGTCAAATCAAAAAAGATAACAAATATCTCTTATATTTTTCAGAGTTGACTGTGCTAATGGATGTGTGGGTCCAAAAGTAAATGTTTGGGGAATAGATATATACACTGAGGTAAGTTTACACGAATAAGTATTTTTTTAGGAAATACTAAGTGCTATTCACTTATTCATTTTGACCTGATGTAGGTTATCATGCAACATTTCAGATGATGTGAACTATATTTGTGTATTGCTTTGCTGGCAACATATTTATTGATTTATTGTAGAGACTGGTCAAATGCTGTGTGTTCCCAAACACTGATAAAGACACCTAAACAAAGTGCCAAATATTTATTTTAAAAACATTTTATGTGCTTTCAAACCATTAGGATTCTGCTGCTTGTGCAGCTGCCACACATGCAGGAGTCATACCCAGCACTGGGGGTAAATTTGTTCTCCTAAAGAAACCAGGACAAGAGAGCTATGAAGGGTCCACGAAAAATGGAATCACAAGTAGACGCTACGGGAAGTCATCTGGGTCTTACGTGTTGAGCAAGTCATATGACTTTAAAACCAACATATTTACAGATTCATCGCCCAATATAAAAGGTCAAGGTCAAGGTAATGATCGATCAAAGTGTTATGCTTGAGATGAGATTCAAATCTATCTTAATTTGTTTTAACGCATTCACAAACATGTTGTTTTCCAAACTTCTGCAGGGATGAAATGGGAGTCCAAGCAGGCAACAGGTAATACTTTATAATTTGCTATTTTCTTCTACAACACCAAAGTAAAAATACCTTTATTGTAGTTTATAGTTACTAAACAAGTTTATTGGTACAGTATATCATTTTTAGTCATAACAATTCATATGATGCCCCTATATTGGTTGTACGTAGTCTATATTGGGTTTAGGTTGTAAGCTGTATGTGTCAGAGGCTTCTAATGCCTAGAAACTTATCATAAATCTTATTATGTCCTTATGTTTAGTAGTGTACATCACCAGTTCTTTAGCGTCTACTGTAAAACACTGAGTACTCCTGTGTTGTGTTAGAAAGATATGTGTATAGTGTTCCCTAGATGTGGGTGAGTCTAACGTAGCCCCGTGTAAAAGAGTTGAACTCTTTGAATAACATTGCACACTGTGTACTTCTATAAAGAGAAAACATTTTAAACACTTTCCAGAAATGTAATACACAACCTACTGTTTTATGGTGGGAGCATAATGTTGGCTAGGGAATGCCCTCCTCAGAGCTAAAAACCTTTAATGCAGCAATGAAAGTTAAGACATTGTGAATCTAGAGGTATCAAACTTAATTTCTTATTTACTGGTAGTCACGAGTTACTTCATCAACCACTTCTCAATCCCAGACTCCTTCTCAAGTAATCATCAGAAGCATCCCATGGTGCCAGTCTTCAATTTGGTTTTGCCAATGCATATATCACATCACTCAAGAGATATGCATAAGACATCACTGAAGAGACATGCATAAATGCCATCTACATAAGGGAGATGGAATGGAAAGGAGGAGAAAGTCTGTTACTGTTTAAAAGTACTGACTATTATGTTGTGACATTGTATCTAAAGGTTTCGACCCCAAAAGGTCTTTGTCAAGCTTGACAAAGACCTTTTCGGGTCAAAACGTTGCTGTTGTGGTTCTCAATAAAGTGCCTGTCTTGAACCAAGGAGTGCCTGGACCCCTATTATTAACGGAAAGGACAACAAATAATGTTTGTTTATTTCTCCATAGTTCAAGCGTCTTGCTCTATGACTGGAAATGAAATAACTACATCAATCACAATGTAAGCAACAGCCTGTACTGAAGCTTGTTTGAGCAGAGTTTTCGTCACCATTTATTTACATGCATGTATTTTTGTTTTCAGTTATATGCTGGTTTATATGCACATATTAATATTATAAAATGCTGGGGAAAATATTGGTGTTATGTAAATGAGATCTGTAATAATGCATTATGTGCTTAGTAGCTGCAGGTAGTTAAAATGCGTACCTAGGTCAATAAATTATCACAATGCAAACACTGTACATAGTATCCATGCTAACTGTCTTGTGAACCATATGAATGAGTTTCTAGTGTAATTATATGAGAATTGTGAGAATTAACCAGATAAGGACCAATGTCATCGAAATCATCTGTTCTTTTTAGACTTAGCTAAGATAGTAAAAAAAATCTGTATTAAAACATACCAAGGAAATCTAGAATCTACAGCACAATCCAAGAGAGCAATACAAAACACTTAGCAGTAGACTGACTAGTATCTTCAGCCCAGGAACATGTGTTTTAAATTTTTTTTGCCAACCAATATATTCATATTGGCTCATTAAATTAAATTAAAGAAAGGGTTCTATACAAAGCACGTAAAAAGAGTGTAGAACGCATCTAGTCCTTGGATGTTGCTGAAATACAACTCCATTGATTCTCTGGATATTTAATGAATACCAGGAGCTGTAGACCATCAACATGGGGAGTGTGGGAGTTCAAGAACATCTAAGACAACTCCTAGTGTTCATTTGTGGCACTGCAAGAAAAAAAACAGTAACCCACATTCTTTAAAGTAGATGTTATCGCCTATCTCTCTGGTACGTCAGACTCATATTATAATATGCCAATTATATTATTATTTATTAAAAATTATGATTTTTTTATTTATTTCTTTTAGAGTTCATTGCCCCAGGGGGTGCATGAAGCAAAATGCAAATGTTTGGGGAATTGACATCTACACAAGAGTAAGAATAGCACTCACATAGAAATACATTTTATTATTAGAAATTTCAGACTTTTTGTTACGAAATGGTTTTAATATTTAAACATTTTTAATTCTGCACATCTAGGATTCTGCTGTTTGCCAAGCTGCTATTCATGCCGGAAAGATCGATAATGGTGGAGGATCTGTGATCATGAAGAAGACAGCAGGATCTGACAGGTACAGTGGATCTTCAAGGAATGGTGTAACATCAAAACAGATGGGCAGCTGGCAGGAGTCATTTGAATTCATCTCATCATTGGATATTCAAAGCACCACATACACAGAAACATCTTACAATCTTCCTCCAACAGGTAATATTGTTTCTATATATGTGTTTATATTGACTGAAACCAAATGCTTATTGATTTAAAATTATTATTTTTTTCTTTTATTGGAATCATTTCAGAAACCAAATTTGATAAGTCCTCAGGAAAAAAAAAAACAATATTTTTTCTGCATGTGAAAAATAACTAAAAATAATTATTCTCTTTTTTAAAAGCTTTTATAAAAAAAAACATGTTTATGGTAAATAGATAGTGAGTAGTAAGCAAGATAGGTAACATATAAATAAATAGGAATTAAAAGAAATACAAGCAAAAAGTTATCATATGTAAGTAAATCATATATACACTGGAGATAACCCCTATCCCAATCAGCTTTGCCTAGCCATAATTGACTTCTGCTACAATTCTCCACAAATTCCCCTTTTGTAAACAAAAAGAAAATGTAATTTGTAATAGCATATTATGATTTATGACACTACAAGTATATGCATCATAATTTACAAAAATTATTTGGCTTGTATTTTTAAAAATATTTAAGTATTTGAAGCACCCCTTCTATTTTCCTGATGAGCGTGGTGTTGTACAGACAGTGTAAAATCAATTGTCTTACAGTAAGAAACAAGTTTGACTCCCAATATATAGTGGAGATCTCTGGGTCATCTATCAGTGACTCATGTTGGGTTTACAACTTCCTCACACAGTGAAGTTCAATATAGCCAATCTTTTATTAGAATTGCTGCCACCATATACGTTTTTATTTATTTACAACTGAAACTGTTTTGTTGGAATTGTTTCAGAAACTAAATGGGGATTCAATATGCCATCAGGTAATATTTTAATATTTATTTTTTTCTGTATGTCAAGCTCTAAATCTTTTTATTTTAAAAAGATGTTTATTTTAAAAAGTATTTTTTTTGGTAAATAGATACTGAATAGTCAAAAAGATAATGAATTATATAAAAATAAAAAGAATTACAAAAAATACATACACAAAAAGGTATCATAGAAAAGTAAAACAAATATACACAGGAGATAATACCTATCCCAAACAAGTTTTGCCTGGCCATAAATGACTACAAGGGTGCCTTGTATCTAATGATTGTCCTCTAGGGCTAAATCTTGTCCCTTAGCTTAGGTGATACCCTAAGCCTAAGTAACATAAACTCTAATTACAAGTGTGTTCCCTAACTAACATGGATATTCCAAGGAACCCACCTGTGGAAACTGGTGTTAACTTAATGATATCTTAGTTTCTCACATTTTGTACCATATAATAACCACACATTTCCAAATAAATGTCGACATTTAAAAAGAGCAAGAACATTTTATAGATGTATATGGTGATTGCGCCACATATTAACCATTTCCCATATTTTCCTATTAATTACTAAGTTAACCTATACTTCAACACCAGAGAAAGAACTTTTAAAAATATGATGAGAAAGATCACAACACAGAGTCCTCTGGTGATGCCCAGAAAGGTCATAGACAGTTTCTGTTACAGCAGAATCACACATTGAAGAACAGTAATCAAGATTATTCGCTCATCTGGGAATAGTCAGGAACTGCAAAATTTAGGTCAAAAATAGTAAATTGGAAAATGTAGGTATTTTCCCTGCTAGATATGTTGGCCTAAAATCTGCAATTATCTTACAATTTTCTGCAAATTCACATTTCTGTAAACAGAAAGAAGTGTAATTCTTTATAGCATTTTAAAATTAATCACACTACAAGTATCTTTATCATAATTTGCAAAACTTATTTGTAATAACTACATATTTGAGCATACGTATATTTAGCTTTTCATAGATTATAAATCATTCCCTCCAAATATGGATTACATTGTTTTTTATTGTTTTTTTTTATTTTAAAAGGCTTGTAGTTTTTAGAATATTTAAGTGTTTGAAACAACCCTCATACTTTCCTGATGAGCGTGGTGTTTTGCAGACAGTGTTATTATACCCAATTTTGTTACAGTAAGAAACAAATTTGACTTCCAATATACAGTGATGTATTGGTAATTAATCAGTGAGTCATGTTGAGTTTACAACCCCCTTGCAAGATAAAGTTCAACATAGTCAAT